ACCACAGTTGTCCAATCCATTCATCTACTGATGGGCACTTAGGCTGTTTCCAGATCTTAGCTATGGTGAATTGTGCTGCTATGAACATAAGGGTGCATATATCCTTGCTGATTGGTGTTTCTGGTTTCTTGGGATATATTCCTAGAAGTGGGATCACTGGGTCAAATGGGAGTTCCATTTTTAACTTTTTGAGAAAACTCCATACTGTTCTCCACAGTGGCTGCACCAGTCTGCATTTCCACCAGCAGTGCAGAAGGGTTCCTTTTTCTCCGCATCCTCTCCAACACTTGTTGTTTGTTGATTTGTTGATGATAGCCATTCTGACAGGTGTGAGATGATAACGCATTGTCGTTTTGATTTGCATCTCTCGTATAATTAGTGACTTTGAGCAGGTTTTCATATGTCTTTTGGCCTTCTGTATGTCCTCTTTCGAAAAGTGTCTATCTAGGTCCGTTGCCCATTTTTTTATTGGATTGTTTATCTTCCTTTTGTTAAGTTTCATGAGTTCCCTGTAAATGTTGGAAATTAAACCCTTATCGGTGGTATCATTGGCAAATATGTCCTCCCATGTAGTGGGTCTCTTGTTGTTTTGTTGATGGTTTCCTTCTGAAGGCGGCACGCGGGATGATTGGGTGGTGGGGACCACGAGTCAGCACTCACCTGGCTCACCTTCTCTCAGCAGGTGCCTTAGGACCTCCCGATGGGGTGGCTTGGCTCTGGGCTCACGTTCCCTGTGAGCTGCCTGATCCTGGTGTGGGCGGCAGGCTCTGGTAAGTCACCACCTCTCATTCATTCATTCAATCATTCAGCAAACATGTATGGACTGTCTACCTGCCAGGCCCAATCACTGAACAAAACAAAGATCCCTAGCCCACCCCATAACAAAGAAACAGAATTTCCGGAGGATGAGGCCCAGAAATCAGGGTTTTTAAGAAGATTCCCAGGTGATTCTAATGTGCAGCCAAGGTTGAGAACCACTGCCTTAGAGATTTCGCTGTAGTGGGAGGGGACAGCCAATGACAGATGGCCCTAATTATAAGTTAATTCTAGATTGTCAGAAGGTGGTGGGAAAAGACGATAGAGGGCAGAGCAGGGAGGGCTGGGACAGTGGGGTCAAGTGGAGGATTGCAATTTAAAACACGTGCTCAGGGAGGTCCTCCTGAGTGACAGGCGCTCAAGCAGAGACTTGAAGGAGGGGGAGCGTGCAGATACCTGCGGGCGGACCTCAGTGGAGGCCGGAGCCCAGAGCCTGCCTGGAGAGCTGGAGGGACCAGAGGAGGCTGGGGTGGGGCTGGGAGGCAGGTGGCCAAGTCAGGAAGGACCGGGCAGGGTTTGAGCACAGGAGCGACATGACCTGTGACACTGAAAGGGACCCCTTTGTCTGTAAGCACGAGGGTGGAGGCCGGGAGGCCAGGGAGGAGGCGCTGCAGTAAGCCGGGTTCAAAGCCAGCTCTGCCACTGACCGGCTGGACACAGCACCCCGCCCTCTCATCCCGCCCTTTGATATTGGCCAAACCCAGCAAGGAGCCAGAGGCCAAGGGCCCCTGGGTGACAGACCGTGGGGATCAGCCTCCTGAGCTCAGCAGGGTGGAGGAGGTGGGGCGGGAGCGCTGCAGGGCAGGTGCTGCTGGCGGGTCGCCCTCCTCACTCCGCCACATGTGTCCCTTTAATTTGGCCAAAGGCAGTAGGAGAGCTGCAGCACGTAAAGGTCACTGGAGTGTCCCCTCAGTGGGCCCGCACCCCAGGGCCCTTCCTCAGCTCCAGGATGGCCTCAGTGCAGCCGGAGGCTCTGAAGACGGCACAGGGGCGGTCCGGGGCGGCGGTTCCCTTGCTTTGTGCTGGGCCCCTGGGTCCTGTTCGGGCTGGTTTCCGACCTTCCCGGTGGCCCGTGGCCCTCTTGCCTGTTGGGCTGCGGCTGCTCAGAGCGCTCCTGTGTCTCCCCAGGGAGTGTTCAGGTCCGGGGTCGGCCCACCTGCTTCTCCGACTACCTCAGCACCTCCACCTGTGAGTGGAGGATGGATGGCCCCACCAACTGCAGCTCCGAGCTCCGCCTCACCTACCAGCTGGATTTTCCGAAC